TCTTTCAAAAGCATGGGGAGAACTTCAGATGGATTGTGTACATTTGTACAGTTTGACCTTGTTCTATTCTCTCGTCTTATTTATAAGGAAAGTTAAACTATTACATCTTTACCCTAAGCTCCATCTTTATACTAAGTACTCACACTCTTCTGACTGAAAGTAAAGTTTGGGGCTATAAAAAATAAAACCGATTTCATTTTTCACAAGTCAGACGCAGATCTCTGTCTTGTTGTATTTGATTGTATCATCTTAATTTATTTTTGTATCAGTTTAGATATCACTATCAGCGTAAGAAGCTGTGGTAAATAAAGCTGTGATAGTAAGGAGGACAGGGAGTGAAGCAAGCTGGGCATTTTGAAGCTCAGTAGTTTAGCAATTCAAATTCAAATCCCAGTTAATTTACTGTTTTCCAAACTTTTCCATGGGGGCAGCTTCCCTCGCCTTCTCACATTTACCATCCACTGTGTCTTCATTACGCGTGTTTGATTGGTAGGTGCATGACTGTTTGTGCGCACACACATTTACATGTGTCAGTGTGTGTCTGTGTTAGCTCTTCTCTGTTTGTGCAATTGTTTGCTTATGCATGTGCACCCCGAGAGCGTATGTGTGTTTCTGACTGTGGGTGCAATTTATGATGTGTACTTTTTTTCTCTTCCTAGTCCAGGAGTCCCCGTCAGGACCCCTAGGCGTCCCTGTGCCTGCCTGCCAAAAACGACTGCATCTCCTGGACCCCCTCGAGGCAGGGGACAGCCAAATGTCACTTGGACCCTCTACAGAGTGGTGAGAGGAGGACAGGAAGAGGCGAATGGGAGAGGGGTGGTGGTGTTGGAGGAGGAAGGAGGAGAGGAGGGGGAGACGGGGAATTGAATGAGAGGGACACGAAAGTTAAAGAGGAGATACAAGGATATGTAGAGTGGTAGAGGAGTTTGAGACGACAGGTGGATAGAATGGATGAGAAACTGAATCATATAGCAAATGTAGCATAATGTAACCCTAACTAATAACAGTGACTCAGTGATTACTTGGCCAGAGCTAACATACCTGTTACCCTGTTGCAACATACCTCACTCTTTGGCCCAAGCCTTGGAGCATAAGTTTACAGCGTATACTGTTTATTTTAGAGTATTATTCATCAGTATTATTCATCCTCAAACTCTTGAAACTTTCCCAGACCTTCTTGTTGGATCTTTGTTCCAGTGTATTTACTCCTGTCACTTTCAGCACAAATAGAGTTGGATAAAAGTGTTTGTAGACAATTTTCAAGAATCATATTGGTTGTCATATTGGTGAACGTTAGTCCCCTATATCCATATATAATATCCATATATAAATATATCTTTTACACTGCTGCTGAGGAGTTTCCACAAGTTCTTAGATTGATTTCATTCCTCCCAGGCAACCAGCGGCTTTGGCAGCCTGTTACAGGCAAATACAGAATGAAAATGTAGAGACCTCAAAATTGTATGTGATACATTAATCATTATTGTTTGCAGCTCTTATTTTTTGCCAAAATAATATTATTGTTGCATAATTGCTAAGAAGGGGCAGCTTCTGAAGCCCTTTAGTCACTGTGCTCAAGGAAACTCTAACATCTAAAGTAAAATGTGATAATTGGCTCCTAAACTAAATCAAGTAATATAATGGAATAAGCTACAAAATGAATATTATTATCTTTATTTATTGCTTGTGTTCAGGCTTGATTTTCAGGCATTTCGGACACCAGAGTTTCCACGCACAGGTGAGAAATGTAAAGTTGAGTTTGTAGTGTTTTTTGATTGCACAATATTGAAAATTGATCGGTAGTAATTCAAATAAGAATTTAGGATTTAGGCCCTTTTGCACTTTCTCACACAGATTGTTGTAGCTCTTAGCGGATGGTTTCCTTCATTTGTTCTTATTTGTTTGTTGTGTAAGGGAATTAAATGTTAAATGCAGTGTAACATTACATGCAGTAAACACTTTACATTTAAATTACTTTCAGTAATGTTTCTATGGAAATCATCAACCATACAAAATAGAAAAACTGCCCTCTCACATTGTTATAAATGTCTCTTTTCTTTTTTTTTTACCAATTACTTTCTGTTTCCATTTTTCTTTTGTTCACCTCCCCCATTCATCTCTGCCAGTCCCACCGTGTGTATAACCATGCTGTATGTGAATGTGTGTGTATGTCCCTTGCTCCTTGTCCTTGCATGGAGGACAAAATGAAGACAAGGGCAAGACAAATAGAGCATTTATTCAAACAGCAGATGAGAAAGATATATATCTAATCATTTTAATAGGAAACACTCAGTTCAAGTGTGTGTATGTTTGTGTGTAATGGGTACATGTGGTAGATGAAGGAACATGAAGGGATAAAAACACATCTTATTCTGGGTCACAGCTGCTGAAATGAAAACACACACACACTTGTAACCTTCTGCTTAACCCTAATTCCCAATAGACCCGCACACACACACCCAGTGTCTGCTTTACAAGTCCCCCGAGTGTCCTGTCACACTGGGGGACACACAGTATCGAACAGGGATGTATGAATAGAGCGGCCTTCATATTTTATTCCTGATTGATACAAAATGAACATTTCTGCACTTATGGGTCAAGTCCACAGAGAGAGTGAAATAATAAGGTTATTTATTACAGAAAAAACATCAGCTTTTATTTATCTAAATTGAATCGTAAGGAGAGCTTTCTCATCAAATGCAGGCAAACCATTTTTATGTTACTGTTTTATTTATTTAAATCACATTTAGTCCCAGATTGCAGTGTCTTCAGTCACTAAAGTATGTCTGTTAAAATGCTGGAATAATGCCACATTAGAAAGGCAGGTAACTTAGAATTAGCAGTAGGATGGGGTGTGTAATTAGATGAGTTGTCATTCGTTTACAGTCCAATGTATAATTCAGGCAGCCGTGCAGAGAAAAGAATGAACTGGCTTTAACTAGTAGCTAGCTCTCCAAACAGCACCTACACTGCAATTATGGATGAGAGATAGGTGTGTGTGTGTGTGTGTGTGTGTGTGTGTGTGTGTGTGTGTGTGTGTGTGTGTGTGTGTGTGTGTGTGTGTGTGTGTGTGTGTGTGTACGTACATCCACTAAGTTAATGGCTGTGTGGACATGACAGTCTAAATGTGTTCATTTGTAACATTTTATCCTGGTTCACCTCACTCAGCCACTGTCATGCAGCAAACACACACACACACACACACACACACACACACACACACACACACACACACACACACACACACACACAAGCTCACAAAGCAGGAAAGAGTAGGTAGGAGAGATAAGACAAAGCAACATAGAGAGAAGTGAGAGAGCGAAAGTCAAAATTATCTGCCAGCATGAGTCCATTTTCCACAGCAGGTAGTTTCCCCAAAACTCTGGAACTTTTTCAAGAAATCAGAGATTTTTTTTTCACCTTTTTGATTGTTTGTTGGTCACAGTCCTATTCTAAAAATAAAAATGAATGCCCTGTTTGAGCGGATGTTTGAGCTATTGCTGTGGAGCTGGTAGGACTGAGCCATACTGATTGATAAAGATATAGATAAGTATTGGTAACCAGTTGTTTGAACCAAGTGATGGACTGATGAGTACCTTTTCATTATAATGCAACAATGATAAGCACTGATCCATTGAGTTGCATCACCTGAACCACCACATTTTAAATTCTAACTTAACAGTAGTTCGTCTGTATGTGACGTTTTTTTTTGATTGTCCTGTGTTGATAGAGAACTGATGGTCATTATTGAGAACTGTGTGGTCAGTGAGGATGTGTGTGATTTTGATTTGAATTTGAATTTGTTTGAGTTTGATCATAGGTTCATAGGTTTGGTATTTTTAAAAGGCAGTGCATTGAAATTGTAAAGAAGTGACATAAGGTTGGATTTCTGTGTCAAATGTGGAGAAGTGTTTAGTGTTTAGTGTTTTGCAATGAGCTTATAGTTTTGCAGATCTGGGCTGAGATTGTGAAACCTGAATCTCACAATCTGTCACAAACTGTGACGGGATCATTATTAGATGTTCACTTATCTCCCCCTTGTGGTTATTTGCTGCCACTACATCTAAGTCACAGTTCAGTTTGGTTGACGTCAAAGAGAAATTTCCTCTGAAAAGTGTTACTCACGTCCAACATTTTTGAACAACAAATATCTACAGAGACAGTTGTCTCCACAAAGCGGGAAACTAGGACTTGTAGAAATTGCTGATGATAGCCTCAGTTGAATATTGTAGTAGATAGGTCATTGACACTATATTAAGGGCTGACCCTGTATTTGTTTGAGATACTCTAGCCATTCATTTCTGTGTGCCAATAAAATCACAATGGGTGCTTCACATTTAGAAAGAAATGAGAAGGAGCAAGAAAGAATTTCTTTCTGGAGGTAAAGAGAATACTTCGTAATTGTATTTTGTACAACTAAAAACATAGAGCAATCAACAAATATGATTATCCTTATAAGTAAAATAAGTAAATATTAACATTTTATGATAATAAATTAAAAGTAAAATAAAAAATTAAAAATTAAAAATAAAAAAAAAAGGATTTTTTTTTAAACCAAAATATTAGAAATAACGTGTCTTGTAAAAAATGTGAGAAACGGGATCACTTAAAATACTTTTAAGTATCATTTTTAAATGCTTCAAATGCCGAAGAAAATTCATAAATATTCATCTTTGATCAAAGTTATATTGTTTATAAGATATTTAGCCATTTCGTCCTGGATAGATTCATAAAAACAGTAGGGTATGTAACGCAACCAGAACTGGGCATAGTTCCATTTCGTGTTGGTGAGACCTCAGGAGGACACTACTCAGAGCAGGTGAGAAACTTTCATCAAGTAGCGGTAGATTTCAAGTATAGAATAAATACTCTTATGCTATTCCAAGATTCCAAATTGTAGTAATGTAATTACGGTGTACAGTGATAAGACATACTGTATTCTAGTGTAGTTTAGAGGTGGATCTGTAGAAATTTGGAATTTGGCCCTGATCGGGTCAGTTGCGTCCCATCAAAACAGGAAGTTTTTAGAGTTTGCAGGCTATTTAGCTAGCTTGCGAGGTACATAAGGAAATCGTTATGGTTTAGCAAACGTTTTAATTGTGTGGACAAGCTGTCAGTGTCACTGGAAGCAAAGGTTCTACCCTGCTGCAATTGTGAGTAAATATGTTCATCGGCTTATGTTTTTGGTTCGTAACTTTTACGGGCACCTCTGAAATCTGAAGAGTAGCCGACCAGCTAGCCGCTGAGCTACCGTTAGCTTGGTCACGAAGGACATAAGCTAATTTCTGTCAGGATATTGTTTCTGCAGGATTAGCTACAGGGTTTGCCTCAGAGTTACATTGCTGACTGTTGTGCTTTGTGTCCGCCTTTCGTATTTCACTGTCTAACTAGCTAACCAGAGAGCACCGTAACATGAAGTTATGGAGGAGCGAAAGTTAAAGAGAAAGAGTCCCAGGACTTCCACCAACACAGCGGCTCCGACCGGAGGCTCTGGCCGAAAGAACAGTGCTTCCTCCGGGGGACGGCACGTCGGCCACAGTTACAATATGGGGACTCACTCCAGCCAAAAGAGCAAGAACAGGCGGTAGGAACAGTACAATCACGATTATTTCACTTATGATAGCTTCACAACATCATGTGCAATGTAATCGCTCATTTCTGTTTATGTTGTTTGTCTTTTACCAGAGGAATAAAGGATAAATCCAAGTATCAGGTGGGTCTGGGTGGTAAGGCTAATCAGAACCAGAGCCAGGCAGCACCTATCATCCAGCACTCCTTTTTGACCGATGTTTCAGATGTACAAGAGATGGAGAATGGCCTGCTTAGTCTCCTCAACGACTTCCACTCAGGGAAACTACAAGCATTTGGTAAAAAAAAATATGTTAACTGAGCCTGTAACATTTGATATATATATGCCTATTAATGTCTGATTTTTAAACTAATCAATATTTGAAACATGTAGAAAAGATTGAGGTTGAGTGTAAAGACAAAAGAAAGTAAAAAATTGTAGGAAGTATAGAAGATGAAGCCAATTCTACATGTTCTCTTTGTGTCAGGCAATGAGTGCTCCATTGGCCAGATGGAGCATGTGAGAGAGATGCAGGAGAAGCTGGCCCGTTTGCACTTTGACCTCTATGGTGAGGTGGATGAAATGCCTGAGGACCAGAGGAAAATGGCCTGTGACACCAACATGGACAAGTTACTTCTTAATGTAAGACAGCAGTAATATTTGTAAAATGCTCTGACTTTATCCATGTTGTATATTTACTGATGTTTGCGTAGTAGCAGTATTTCAAGATAACCAAATCTCATAGTGTATGGTATTTTATCAGTCAGGACCAGAAGTTTGCTGAATAACCCTACAGAACTACAGATCTGGAACAGTTAAGCTACAGAAATGTTTGTTGTACATTACATCAAGCTCAATACGTTGTATTATCCTGGATAAAGCTGTTCATCGATGGAGTGTAACTACTCAGGGTCTCAGCAAAGTTTTACCTGCTCATTTCCCTCACAAGTATTAAACTCTTTAAGAGTTTAGTTGGCTACTTGTTGCATATCTAACAGGATAAAGTCTAAAAACATCCTTTCAAGTGATCTAAGATTGCCACATAAAGTGCTAACATATATAATAAGATCAAAATATTATTTTTCTTCACAGCTTGAGGAGCTGAGTTCTTCTATGTATCCTTTGATATTTAACAATTGCCAGTCCCCAGGCTTCCTATAAGGCCTTAATTGCTTTTTAAAAACTTGAAAGTGTAAGTAAAACTTCTTTTTCTTAAAGTTTCCTATATGTCCATGGCTTATCTTGTTAAAAAACCTAAGATTTCTGCCTATGTTTTGCCTTGACTCTGCTTTTCCAGTCAGAAACTGAATCTAGCTGACACCCAAGAGATCCCGAGGACTGCCAGCATGTGATTTTCTCTTCGCTTTTTTTCTCAACCTCATCTGACCCACTATTTGTTTTATGCAACCTAGAGAGGCCGCAACAGATAAGATGGAGATTAAGAAAGCTTGTAAGCACTATTTCTCTTAAGTATTATGGCAGAAATGGCAACAAAGCTGTTCACCAGCGTTCCCTGTCTGTACAGGGGGATGGATGTATTGTAAAATGCCCTAATAAGGATGCGCCAACAGCCTTATTTTTCACTGCTCACAGTAAACCAGCAGCGAGTACTAAATTCAGTGGCTAATATGAAGTAGAAAATAGCTCTAATCGTATCTTACTAAACAGCGAGATGAAAATAATCAAATTACTGAGCTATGATTGAATTTCACCACCTCCTCTATTAATTTAGATACAGTGTATTATCTTTTCTCTTGTTGTCAGAGTTATATAGAGAGAGGTTTAAGATCTATGAGATCGTTAGCTACTGTCTTACCAACATTACAGTATATTTTACATATTGGCATTGGTAGATCCCTATCATGGCCTGTTTAAAGTCAAGTTGTAGTCAGTTCAATCATTTTTCAAACAATCTAGATTTGTAAAACATAACTATATAGACATATAGAACTTACCTGTAGTCCAACAGATGATGAATTCACAGGTCCTTGAAAGAATATCCTCAGTGTTTGTTTATGAACTGACTACAAACTTGCTCCTTTAGCAAGATTTATATAAACTCACTGTGTTGCACTTTTTCGTATCTATTGTCACAGGTAAATCAGTGTCCCAGAGCTAGACATATCAGAATATAGATACAGAAATATGTTTATACTTGTTTCTCAACGTAGAACTTTAAACACAAGCTTAGATCTTACCTGTGAGATGATAAAAACCTAAAAAGTATTTCCTGGTTTTATTGAATTATGGTTAAATTCATTAAATCAGCCAGAAATAACATTAAACACACAGTAGATTCTGACCATAGAAACTGAAATTAAAAAAGAAGTAAGCAGCGACTCCAGTTTGTGATTTTGCATTTGATTTCTTGCTACATGTGAGTGGCCTGATATCACCTCCAACACATTGTTCAGTGTTGAATATATTTGCACATATCCATGCAACATGCAAAACACACTCATGATCACTGGTGTGTTGGTTTGACGCTGGAAAATATGGAATAACCCAAATGTTGACATCACAGCCATGCCTTAATTTTTAATTTAATCCTTTTTGGCCTTATTGTTTCTAACACATTGATTATATGTTGAGATTCTGTGTTTAAGATAATATAGTCATCTGATGTTGCTTTGGTTGTAAATCCTACTTTATTTTGTCACTTATTTTAACCAGTGTTGCTGGGGGATGCGGGATTATTTTGTGTTTTACTGTTTTAACTTTGGTGATTTTATTTTTATTGACTTGGTAATAAATGTGTTGTCTGACTCTGTTGACTACATTTTTTTTTATTATTTTTAAGAAAGGAAGAGTTATGTCTAACATATTGAAATTACTGAGAGAAAAATGGGATTAACTCAGTTATCCCAGCCATGTTCTTGTGTGTGTGTGTGTGTGTGTGTGTGTGTGTGCGCGTGTGTGTGTGTGTGTGTGTGTGTGTGTAAACCATGTGAAGGAATGTGCTCATCCTTTTGTTGATGCGTCTCTAAGGTTACTGGGAGCAGAGAGCAGAGCAGCACAGTGGCAGCCTGTCAGTAGGCATTTCCTTAGCAGAGCTCAATCTGGCATTAAATGATTTAAACAGAACTCTAGGCGTTATCTCGAAGTGAGTTTTCACTCCCTGTGAGCACATGGGGACAAACCTGAATTCAACTCCTCATTCGGTGAAGCGATGGCAGCTCAGCGGGACAGACTATGGGCCGCAGCAAGGTCACAGCCTGCGTTCCGAAACCCGCTTCAGCACCTGGACTCCGCTGAACAACAAGCAGAGCAACCTGCAGGTTAGAGGAACAAATGAAGTGGTGGGGTGATAGAGTAAACCTCGAGTTGTATTAGATTACTTTTTATTTATAGCCACCAGATGGCAGGAATGGCCAAATTATAACAGTAAGCCTCACACAGGAGACCACTTGTAAAGCCTAATAATATGCTGTGTTCGTGTTACAAATATCTCTAAAACGACATTATTGATGTTTGGTTAATTGGCTAATTTGGAACAGGTGCGCAAACTGGTTTAAAGTAGCTACCTTTTCTGCTTCCTGTCGATCTTAAGCTATTAGAGATACACCATAGGGCAAATTAATTAAATCAATTAAATATTTTATCACTTAAACAATATTGTACCATATAGGATCAAAACAGAAAAGTTAACTAGCTCATGTTCAGGCTAAACAGAAATGGGTCAGATGCTGAACACGCCCTACTGCTTCAGTGTGCGGTTGCTGACAAGGCCCAGGAGGCATTTTCAGCCTCGAGTGTCGCTGATAGTGGTAGCTACCAGTTGGTTAAAGCTGCTGTTCTTAAGGCGTATGAGTTGGTACCTGACGCATATCGTCAGAGGTTCAGATCTCTGAGGAAAGAGAAGCAATCCCACACTGAATTTGCTCACGATTTAGCCATTCATTTTAGCCGCTGGTGCGCTGCATCCCAGGTAAAAGACCTTGGAGGATCTGCAGGAACTTATCTTGCTGGAACAGTTTAAAAATACTTGCCCGGCCGTATTGTTACTTGCATAAATGAACAGAAATTCAGATGCTGCCAAATTAGCAGATGAGTTTTTCCTGACTCATGAGGTTTTCTTTGGTGAGAACCATGGTCTTGGTGATACTGGCTGTAGAGTGTTTTTTCGGGACTCACTCCAGTAAAGGTTTGACAGAAGGGACAGAAAAGTCTTCAGTTAAAGCGGTCAGCGGTTTTCGTGGAAAATTGGACCCCAATCATGTGTGCAGCTACTGTTTTGCTAAGGAGCACTGGAGAAATGAGTGTCTGCTATTGAGGAAAAAAGTGAAGACTGGGTGTTTACCACCAAAACCATCAGGGGCTGCTGCATCGCTGCATGAAGAAGAGCCTGTGTCATTGCTGTGGTGCAGGCACACACAAAAAACCTGCATCACAGTCCATAAGTAAAGTTCCTGTTGTGGAGACATAAACCTTACTAATGGCCCCATCAGACAAACATTTTTCAGCCATTATCACACCATTAGCCTTACGTTTTTGTTCTGGCGTTTTGCCATTCCCATGGTCTTCATCAGTGTTTTGGAAGCCAGTTTGTGGCTTTTGGCAAAGCAGGCAGACTCTTATGCAATGAGGTGCAGCTTCCATATGTTGTTGACTGATAGTCTGAAGTTTGTTGGTGTCATGTTTCCATTTACTCCCAGTTATTTGAGGAGAGGATGAACCTGGTGCTCCACTGGTTTGATCTGTGGACTGACAAGCAGAGAAAACATCTGCTGCACTCTCTGCTCACACGCTGCACCGAGTCCCAGCTCAAGTAAGATCATTCATACCCACTTTAATTTATGTGTGTTTATGATCATTACATGTTATTAATCTCCTACCACCCCTCAAACCTCTTTTTGTTGAGAATTTTCTCAGCGTGAAACAAAAGTTATTTGATTGAATTAGATTTACAGGCTTTAAAATGAAACTCCTCTGACAATCTGAACAGGTACTGTAGGGATTTGCTGATCGTGGCGGTTCCTGTGACTCAAGTGGACTTCACGGTGGTGCTGCCTCGGTTTCTGTCCCTGTATGTGATGTCATTCCTGTCCCCTCGTGATCTCTGCTCCGCTGCCCAAGTCAGCTGGCACTGGAGGGTCCTGGCCGAACAGGTGAGAAGCCCACAAAAAGAGATATTTGAATTGATCAGGTCTTGATTAAAAGAATAAAAGCCTCTTCTCCTTCTCTTCAGGACTGTATCTGGGCAGACCGATGTATTCGAAGAGGCTGGTTCCTTCCCTACACCCCTGGAGAAAAAGAGTTTGGAGCGTGGAAGAACCACTATGTCTCCTGCGTCTCCACACTGGACTGGCTCACTCCCCGGGAGGCAGCAGAGCAGTACGGGACCCTCAACCACCAAAGTACGGGGATGACAGAAGAGGAGGAAGAGAGGAGGAAGGAGAGGAGGATCAGGCAGAAGATCAGAGACAAACTTCAGGAGGAGAAGAGTAAGAGCGAAAGAAAGAAATTAAAATAAAATAACAGCGTCTGCTCTCCCCATAGTGGCAAATAAGCTGAAGTAACTTATATCTGTGATATTTGTAGGACTATCTATGAGAACCAGGAGAGCATGGGGCTGCTGCATAAAGCAAGAAGGAGCAGGAAGTAGCCAGACTGGGAGACCTAGCTCTGTGACGACTGGGTCTTCCAGCCTTGGAAGTCTTAGCCTGGACGGGTGGAGCGCAGCTCAGAGCCTGGAGGGAGTCCGGGCCTCCGGTTCATTCAGGTGATCATCTACAACTGTTAGAGTGATATGTGTGTTTTCAGATGCCATGATCTACCACTGTATAAGATTTTACAGTCTGTTTGAAACATCCTTTACTACAGTGCAGAAGCTCTCAGAATTATGTCAGAGGTCAAGAGCAAAATTGCCATTTAACCAGACATTTGCCGGAAGAAACGGGGCATTTTCAAACATGCATGATACTGTAAACCAATGGCATTTGCTGTTTTATGGATCTTGAATGAGTTAAAAGAAGCAGACAATCAAAACATATTGAAAGCATATGGTATAAGCCTGTATTTCCACTGCCTCTGTAAAATGTTGACCCCACCACTGAACAGCGACGGCCCATGCTTGAACTTATTTGCTCACCCTTGCTATAAACTTGGTCTGCGCGTCTCTGGGAAATGTCAAGCTCCACAAAACGTATTGTTGAAATCAAACTACGTATCCTCTTTTTTTTAGTGAAAGACTGAACAAAGCCAGTGGAGCATTGTCCTGCTTCACCCACAGACCTGCTCCACAGCACGCAGTCGCACCCATCCATCGCACCACTCCTGCCCTCTTATTGCTGATCTCTAACAGAGTTCCTGCTTATGAGGTAAGAGGAAAATATAGAAGTTCCATCAGTCAGTCCATTCATCATACTCTTTTGTATGAGCTAGAAGTCAATAGAGAGGAAGGAAAGGGATGTAGAAAACGCTAAAAAAAAAAAAAAAGCATTGGAAAGATAAAGAAATATTCCTCCCTGCTCCTTTCTCTTTCTCCCTATGCTCAATCCAGTTGGTGTTGGGCGGCGTGAAGGCAGGAGTGATTGTGGTTGTGTATGACCACAGAGGGACCCTCCCAGCTCTGTTAACCCAGGTGGAGAGGGCTATTTCAGGGCAGGGAGCTCTGAGGCTGGGCTTGTTAGCTCCAGGAGGAACGGAGGAGATCCATCTGCTTCACAGTGAGAATTAATAATCCCGTGTATCTAAATGTGTGGAAACATTGCCAGGGTTAGTTCCAGTCCAACTGGAGCCTTCAGTGCTACAAGTTTATCTCTCAGGATACTGTGAAACACATCTGCTAAAACCATTTCATGGTTTATTGTCATTATGATACCACCTTTTTTTTTTAAGTCCATGGCTATCCATGTCTTTTGGCTAAGAGCTGGCCCAAGACTAATTATTATAAATCTTAACATTAATTTTACATTTTAGTTTAGTTGGTCTCACCTTTTTATTTAAATTTAAAACACTTCCTAATGTTTAGATACATAAAAACTACCTCATAGATTCTACAACAACTTTGTGGCAATTGAATAGTATGCTGTTCACAGTTTTCCTTTGTGCCCTTGAAGTCACCATTTGGGAACAGAGTTTACTGGAAATGAAGTACATTTGTTGTGTTGACATCAGCTCAACTGCTAACTAATAACAGGAAAACACACAAAACTGGTTATCTGTGGTCTGGGAAAATGCTTTGATCCCTTGGTTCAGGACATCCCATTCAAATGTGATTGGTTAAAGTTGAAAATACAGGCTCTTTCTGCAAAGTAGACCTTTTAGTGAACCTTATGTTCAGATTTTTTTTTAGTTTACTAATCCTCTTTGTTTTACTTTTGACCCTTCAGGTAGCATCCTGTCAAATAGGACTTTACTGACCCCCGATCATAGAGAATTCTGGGAAAAACTGTGTGGCTGGGTGGCACCAACTGAGGATGGCGGAGGGATTGACATCTTCTCCCCACTGGCTGCATCTGGTTGGTAGATGCTGAGACCCATACTTCTCTATAGTCTGTATTTCTGTCACAGTTTCTGCTTCCATGTCAGTAACTTCCATTCCCTGTCTCGCTATCCTTTCCTTGCTCTCTCTCACTTTCTCTCTCTCCCTTAGCGTCAGGAGTGGCTCTCATCCAGACTCTCTCTACTCTGACTGGTCTGGAGGTCTGGGCGCCAATGGGTCTTGTTACCGGAAGTTTTCAGAACAGTGAGTCTCCCTTGCACAAGACTTTGACTCAGATGTTAAACTTTAAATGAAAAATGTTTGTGAAGCTTAGTAATGCGCTCTTTGTGACCTCAAAACTACCACTAACGCCTCCAAAAAATATCTAAACCAGCCACCGCCTGATTCTTGGACCAGTGGGTTGTCTTCACTTTCTTGAAAATTTTATGGTCAGCATTTTTCTGTGAATCTTTAATGTATTTGCTGTCAGTAATTCCTTCTCTATGGTATAGTAATAGTATAGTAATAGTATAATATTATAGTTATCAAAAATGTGCACACAAAACAAGAAAAACGTCATTTTTATTTATTTATTCTTTTGACAAAGCAGCTGTTCAAGCCCTTAGCTGTTGTATTACACGGCCCTTGCTGTCACTACGGTAACCACTAGTGTTTCCAAATCAACCAGGCCTGTGTCACGTTAAAGCCTCAAGAAACATGTTTTTGTTTTGTCTTTTTTTCCTTTTACACACCCTTTTGCCCTGTTCCAGTCCTGAGTGAGTGGTCTCACAGCAGTGTGTGTGGCAGCAGGCTATCGAACCAGCCTCCAGCAGGCCCAGCATTCCAGTATGTGTGTGAGAGTGTACTGACGGGCTGGTGCAGAGAGGCCAAGTGGATGGAGGAGGCTCTGGGGGAGCTGAGGAGGTGCCTGGGGCCGCAGCTACAGCAGGCCAGCCTCCAGGCTAGGGGTCGAGCTCTGGGTGAGTCTCAGACACGCGTAGATTGAAATACATGCACACACAGCTGGACCAATAGCAAGTTAAAACACGTGTGCATACTCTGTGTCCCGTAAACTTTCTGAAGAATCTGTGAATGTATTTATAGGTAATTTTCTGTGGGAGAAAATCTGCCTTGAGGAGCTTTCTCAGTCTAAAGATCTAAGTGAGGCTCTGACTGAGGGACTCACTGCTCTCACTAGACAGGAAGAGGTGGGAATGTCTGTGAAGGAGTTCTGTAATGCATACTTACCATAAAACCATGGCAAAAAACATTAACCTTTAGATAGCAGCCTGTCAAAGTGTCTCATTCCTATTTTCTGCTTCGTTAGACCAGACCTTTGGAGTTTCTTTCTGTCTTCCTTACAAGATGGAGTGAAGAGAAGGAGGGAGAAGAGAATATTGGAGAGGACAAGTTGATAACCAAAGGAGCAGATGATTTCTCGTTGGCACCACATAGCTCCCAGAGATTGCTACCTGAGCCACCACAAGTGTGTGCACAAATCTGTCCATCTAGAGAAGGGTAAAGCAGCACACTTCATGTTTATAGCTTTGTTTTGTCTTTAGATGGTGTTAGACTGGAGAGGTGTAGTTGCCAGAGAGCTGCACCACAGCGAGTGTCTGTATCTGGGGAGACTGGGCGCTGTGCTGAAGGTATACCTCCCATTCTTTAAACTCGATAATTCATAAAACAAAAAGACGATTAAAGTTCCTTTCAAATAGGAAATGTAGTTGCTGAGAGGCCATCGTTTCAGGGACAGTCACACTCGACATGAAGTTTAATCAGACTTAGAGACAAGCTGAATGAATATTAGGTAATGCTGTCCAGTCAAGCCCAGAAAACATGCTAATAATTGATAGAACTCACCAAACTATGGGGACTTTATGTCATACCTATTTAACTAGGTGTCTTAAATATTAAATGAATCATGGTTGTGGAACTGCATGACCTGTTTTCTGCCCTCCCTTAATATTAGAATCTGATTTGGGCAGGATAAGGTATCTTACAAAGCAATCACCTGCCCAGAAAGTGCTGTTTGTCCATTTTCCAGGTGGAGGTGAGAGAAGAAGAGAACAGTCAGTATTGCTAATCCAAGGTTTCATTGATACATGTCACTGCTCGGTGCTGCAGGTGTACCAGGAGCCACTCACAGCAGCTCTGAACTCCAACAGAGCCATTCTCAGCTATGCTGACACCCAGATTATCCTCAGCCCTGTCGCACAAATACTGGAGCTCAACAGGTACACACACACACACACACACACACACACACACACACACACACACACACAGATATTCGTATGGTACTGTCTTGTTTGCGTCCCTCTGTGTGGAATGACATGATTGGTGTCTATGTGTGTTTCTTGCAGGGTGTTTCAGATCGATTTATGGGCAAGGCTGCAGCAGTGGGGGGCAGAGCAGTGCGTTGGAGAGGTGTTTGTAAAACTGTGCTCAAGTCTCAGAGTCTACACCAACTACTTTAACAACTACACCACTGCCCTGTGCACCATCGACAAGGTAAAGCAATGTGTTTGTTGTCATCGATTCATACCAGAGGCACCTCGAGCTAACTAGTTAACAAATTTAGTTCAGCCCTTTGAAAGAGTCTCTGTCAGATCTCTGCACTGCTTTAATACTCAATTTGAATGATTGTTTATTATGATTTCATGAAAAGCCAGATTTGATTTAGACAGTTTTGTTTCGTATTGGATTTAAACAAATGGTGTGTGTGTGTGTGTGTGTGTGTGTGTGTGTGTGTGTGTGTGTGTGTGTGGGTGTGTGTCTGTGTGTGTGTGTGTGTGTCAGTGCAGGGAGACGAAACCTACATTTCGGGCTTTCCTGAAGAGAGCAGACAGAACTCTTGCAACACACATGCTGAGGTAACAACACGTATGTATATATGTTGTATAAGTTTGTATCGATCAAACCACAGTGTAAAAACACATCTGTATACGTGTGTCTGTGAAGCCTACAGGAGCTGCTGCTGTGCCCGGTGTGGAGAATAGAGGAGTATGTGACTCTGCTTCAGGCTCTGTCTTTACACACAGATCCCGGGCACCCTGACCACACACACCTCTCCTCTGCCCTTACCACGATGCTACGCTACAGAGAATTCATACTAAAGGTATGACACCAATAATTTCAAAATCCATCTGGGTCATTTTTAAAACAATAATTGTTTATCTGTGTATCATTCTTTCAAATCATTCACTAAACTATGAAGCTATTAAAGCAAATATTTAAATGTGGAGAAATAAAACTTCAACTATCATTAAACAAAATCAAAAAGTTGTTATATCGTATTGTGTTTATACTCTGTAGAAGCCATGAGATTCTCTATTTGTGCTATGTCACAACCATTGTCACAAACAAACATTACATAGCCGAGTTATTGCTCTTATGTATACACTGTAGTTTGTATTAAGTGTGCAAAACTATGCTCAGTGCAATAACTACACAGATATTTATTTTTTCTGTTTCAGTTGAAGCGTAACTCTGAGAGAGACAGACTGATGGAGGAAACACAGCAGATGATCCAAGGCTGTCCAGTAAAAACACAGCTCTCTGTTTTATTTTCTTACACTCTCTCTTAAAACTCATACTATAAAACTAAAGTTGTATTATTTTGCTTTGACTGTGTCGTGTGTAGAACCTCAGTGAAGGAAACAGACAGCTGGTCATAACTCAGGATGTTGCTTTGCTCAGGAGTCCTGACGAACAGATTCCAGATTCTCTCAGGTAACAGCACAAATTATTCCTGTGTTCCTGTTGATTTTTCACTTAATTGTATAATAAATCATTATTAATGAATATTTACCAACCTGTCTGACCACCCATCTGCACTGATAGTCACATGTCAAACTTGTGTTTTGCACTAAACTAAATAAAGTTTTTCTCATTTACTTAAGACTTAAAGAATAGTATCATTGCATTAGAAATTGTTTCATTACATTCATCCTACGTTCACCCTGTTTGTTTGTGTGTGTGATTTAGGACCTATGAGCATGTGTCTGATGTGGGCCTCTTCCTGTTTAATGATGCTTTGGTGTTGACACGGCGAAATGTGCATCACACACCTTTCACATTGGCTCACCGCAGCACACACACTTTCCTGGCCTCTGTGGCCCTCACCAGCCTGGCTGTCAGAGAGATCACACACACACGCTGTAAGTTTGGTCCCATAGAAAGATAACGATATAAAGATATAATGAATATTGCTACAATTTTGGTATTTTTCAGTAATGACCTGTATATGATCATATACCCTTCTTTGATGAATCAGGAAAGTCACAGTAATATTAATGTCTCCGTCTCCATAGATGTGTGTCATGCCTTTGTCCTGGAGGGTCCTTGTCGTTCCTGGGTCTGTGCCACAGAGAGAGGTGAGGAGAGAGATTACTTCCTGTCTGTGCTGCGCTCAGCCATCAACTCTGCTCTGACGGGACATCAGTGACGGCACGGTGACGATACACCAGCAAGACACCAGGAGGTTTGGACACCACTGTTAGTGTTTTTTTAAAGATTACAAAGATCAGGAAACCTCAAAAGACAATCTTTTCCATGCAGTGATATGATCTAAAGACGTAGCACTCCTGCCACTGTTTAAATTCTGGATGTCTCACTTTCACCTTAAAAGTATTTCCAGACATTTTCCTCTAAGCAGAATAATTATTTTTATGAGTTGGTATTTGGAAATTCATACTACCCAATCCCACCTTTTTTTTATGTATGTGTCAACCAGTATTTTGGTAATATATGAGTTTCGACACACATCTTCAGTTTCCTGATAGTGAATGTCTCACTAACTCAAAAACAGTGTTGACTTGCCGTCGGCTAAGCGCCCCGTCCACGGATGTAAAAAAAACATTTTTATACAGTATATTTAGATTTATACATAACACCTGAACAAAAAACTCTTGAGAAAACGGCAAAACAAAAATTTAAAAACTTGGACAGTGGATAGTAGAAAGTGGTTTGTGTTGTGTTGGCCAATCCTGTTTTGGCCTGTCTTGTCTTAATTACCCGTGTTCTAAACACTCTTTGCATATCAGCTCTTCAATAGAATATTGTGGGTTTTTCTTGTATTGTAATTTCCCCCCGTTGAAACCTGGTGCATTGTGGTCTGCGTTCATTCATTTGACATCGAACCAGTAACACTAGCTAGACAATCCTTGCATCACAAGTAGCATTCCTCTTTCACAATCAATGACAGCTCTATCATGTCACCTTCCAAATATCATAGTCTGAGACCTTTTGTTATTGTGTCTCATTGCACCACTTTTATTTCCAAAAATATGGACATATATTTCTAGTTGCCAGTGTTAATAAAGATAAACATAAGAGATATTTCTTGTCAACCTATATTTTAACTTGGCTTTCACTAAGTATGTATGTTTTTCTCATATATGCGGCTTCGTAGGATATCTATGATCTATTCTGGTTTGTCACTTTGTCTGTTGCTCTGTTGTCAATAGTTCTCCAGAATGAGGTCAGAGACATTTCCCTTGCTGAAGGTATAAAAAGTCTTTATTGATAACCAAAAATAACACAACAGTCACATTTGAGTTATTATCACTATCAAGGAGCTGCATTACAACACATCAGTTATACACGTATGTACATTATTGCCACTTATTTTAGAAATATCTTCATCTACCATCCCTAGAAATGGATAAATGGCTGTTTCATTATCTGTATGTCACAACAGATAAAGTCATCAAAGATGAACACAAATACTCACAATACAAATAAAAATTCATTTTCTTTCAACAACATGACAATATTACTTAGTGTCCTAATATTACTCTTGAGTTTCATTTGTTTTTATCACAGTGACATCCTCACACAAAGCTGTGACTGTAAATAATTTACTCTCATTTGTTCAATGAATCTCCATTGGAACTACTTTCTAAACCTTTTTTGTTTTGTTTTTTTTATAGCGTGTACACATTGAACATAATATTGACACAAAGAGATGCATTTTGCAGTTTTCAGAGCACCATGGATGAGGATCAGATGATAATGAAACAGTTTTTATCTTAAAAGATTAAAAAGAATAAAGCAGCACTGAGAATTTTAATTTTACGTTTTATTTTTCTTTCGCAGGTAGTCTTTATGCAAAACAACACACTGAAAAAAATCACTCATTGCAGATTTTTAGCAACCATGAGGATGTTTTTAGTGTAGGTGAAATATACTGTAAGCCAAAAGTAACCCAAAAGATTAAAAAAAAAATATCTTTTGACCAAAAGATAAAAAAAATGATAAGTATCACTGAAGTCACAGTCTGCGGTTTGCTAAATTTGGGTTGTTGTTGTGTGCTGCTGGCATGTGTGTGTGCTGCTCTTTCCCAGTGGTTACATGAGTCTGTGGTGGCTGACCCTTGTTCTGCTGTCCCGGGTTTGCTGCCGTGCTGTTTGTCCCTTTCTGGGAGCTGTAGCTTTTCGGTTTGGGGATTCTCGTAGGTCCCGGTCGTCGGAATGCTTCTAGAGGTATCTGTGGAAAAACGCAGACAAACAATGAAGTCGACAAAGAGTAGTATTACTGTAGGTTTAGACACTGCATTGTGTCTTATGAGTTTTCAAAATAAAACAAAGAAATCAAAGAAGTGGGGAGAAAATGGGATGTACGGTCTGCAGGAGAGGATTATATGCACAAAAGGTAGGTTTGCAGTTCGGACCAGGTGATGATGATGGTTTTGACTTGCTCCACCAGCTGAATTGATTCCAGTTGCTCAGTGGAGATCTGATGCAGTACTGATTATGACCACTAGATGATATCAAATCATATTTTATGGACGACCACTGTGCCAGACTTTTGCTGCATGACTGCTGCACTTTGGCTTTGTCCCTAAAAGAACTCTTTGTTAGAATAAAAAAAGATCTCACAATAACAAGATATGAAACAGTATGACTGTCTATATACAGTATTTTTCTGTAATTGCCCTGTGAAATATTAAGATTGGATCTAATGTTCCCAGTGAATAGGGGGCTGTGGAAATGCATAACATCCATTCAAGAATGTTGCATATTATTACATGTTCAGTGTTATATGAAATACATTGTTAGGGTTTTAGTTCATGTATCTTTTGTGCATCATTCAGGAAGCGTGCTTTTCCTGAAGAAAAACTCAAATAAGTTGAAACGTGTAAAGCTGGAATAATTAATCAATGAGAAAACAATTGATCTGAAACTATTTTTGTGATCAACCAATTATAGAGGGAATATCTCATCATTTTCAGACAATTAAGAAATGAAAATATCGTTTCTCACAGCCTTAGAAATGTGTGTTTTTTTTTTTTTTTTTTAAATGTATTCCCATATTGTATAGTTTTGTTTCATTGTTCCCCTAATATAGCCCCATTGCATCCCAGTATTAATAACGGTGTGACTATGTTGCTTAGAAACCAATGTTTGGCTCTTTTTGCAGCACAATACTACAAACAAGAAAAGGAATTATCTTGGGAAACATCACATTTCTCAGATTCTCAAACAACTCACTGCTCCGCTTACTGTGCAATCAGGTTTTAATCAGTGTGTTTACATGCACAGCAGCGTGCCAGCATACTGAGGTACATCACTTTTGGATTGGTGCTTGTACAGGAGAAAACATATCCTGTTTACAGTTTCTCTGATAAGATGTTTCCACAGGTTTGAGAAACTCAATCAACATCTGGCACACTGAGCCATATACACTCCTCAGTCATTTGTAGTACATTTTGTCTACTCGTAAATTCATGAGCAAGATACAGCGAATTTTATAAACACCTCATACATTTACTTATACAAGCAATTCAAGTATTTTGTGCTTGTAAACCACATTTGCTGTCAGCATCTTCATCTTCTGGGATGATGACCTTTCTAGAAAATGTTCTTCCTTCTGATTTCATGTTTTTAGATTGCATTTGTGTCTCGATATGTCTAAATTAGCTTCATCAATCACACATTTAAGAATTTTAAGAATCTTTAAAATCTCTGAGCATCCAGGCAAATGAGCACTCAATGTCTGAGTCTCTCTGTGTGCTTCACAGACTAAATGACTCTGACAATAGTCAGCAGGCAGTTAATTTCTTCAAAGTTGTCAAAGTATTTGGCACATCATAACATTTTCATTTACATCTTCACTGCTTGGGTGTTCATTTTTCTCAGTGTCGACTTTTGGAAAAGGTAATTTCATTTTGCAAAATGAGCTGACAAGATGCCCTTGTACACTCCCCCAAATAATCAATTTGGATTATTTTCACTGCAGCATTTTAGAGATGGTGTTCATTAGAATCTCTCTCTTTGACAAAATGTGTCATTGATCTGGTCTGGATCTCTGCAGCTGAGTAAGTTCTGCGCATTTCCATATGTTTCATTACTTCACACCATTGACTTTATTCCCAAGCAACACACTGAGCACCAAACCTCTCGCTCTAACTTGAGAAAAGCACTTGGATATGTTCATGTGTGGCTTGAGGTTTTTGAGAATTAACAAAAATCTGCAGTGAACTATGTCCTTAAATATTCATACAGGGTATAAATTTCAGAAAAAGTGGGGCCTATGCTTCAACAGAGCTAATGGGCCAGAAAATCTGTACAGGCTCCACGTCATGGGAGTGTTGTTGATTTTACATGGAAAGACCTTAATGTGCGGCTTTGTTCTCTCATATATCAGCGGTGCAGCAGGAGTTCAACTAAGTACTTCCTCTGCCCAGCACTCTGCATTACCGGCGCGGCTGTTTCCAAGGCAACCAAACACGAAGTTTGTTTTGGTGCTTGTGCTGCAGTGGGAGAGAGGCTACTTTCACAGTGTCTACGCTCTCACACGCAGCACGAAGCCTTTTGTTTAGAGAATGTCCCCATACCACTGCTTATTCTCCTTCCCAGGTTTTATTGTGCCTGTCGGTCAAGGTGAGCGAATTCCTCTCTGATTATTATCATTGTGGGCTAAAATTGAGGAAATCCGCTTTCGCCTGCAGTGTGATACACACCTTGTCTTTCTGGCACTCAGTGTTGTAATTAGGCTTTCTTGGCTGCATTCAGATTCAGATCAGTTGCTGATTGTATAAAATTACATGAGTATGTTTATTGTTTTTTGATGGCTTATTTTCACCCCAATAATGCTGCTGCTAATCAGAAGTATCACGGCGTGTTTAGTGTGATTACAGTCTCAATGTCAGCCAACAAAAGCAAGCATCACTGTGGACTTTTGTATGAAAAACCCTTTGGCCTCCAGTGCGTCACTTGATACTCATTTTATCTGTCTGGCACGGATACCATGCGCAGATCTGTCTTCCCTGGCTGAGCCAGATGAGTACAGTTTATGAATCGACCAAGTCTAAAGTGAGTCAGGGGGTAATTGAGGTCGCAGACAGCAATCCCAGCTGCTGAATGCTTTCTCAAGTAGTGGTCTAATGAATAGCATCTTGTTTAGCCCCTGCATCATTTCATCACGCCCAGACTGCTTTGGATCCGGTTTCTCCAGCTGCGCTCCTTCCCACTCATTCAATTTAATGCTTGATTTAATCATCTCCTCATTGTCACACTGGGTTGTGTGTGTATGTGTGCGTGTTTGGGTTGAGTTTGCCACTTTCTTGCAACAGTTGTCTTGTTCCATCTAAATGACATTGAGGATTTGGTTCTGTTCTATAGTAATTTGGAGATTTCA